TCCAATAATACTTTCTTCTGCTCATACCACAACTATTACTCAACTGCCAGGGTTTCCTTCCTTTGCCCATCTAAACCTTCATCTGATTTTTTATTGCTTGCTACAGTCTTTTATTCCCCACTTAATTGCCCTTGGCAATATCTGTCTCGTGACACTCTCCACCTATGTCAATGGGCCCTCTATCTTGCTACTGTATATAAGCACCTCATTCAGGTAATACTATCACTTTTTCGAGACTGACACAAACCGCAGTCTCTAACACTGACTCTTAGTGGGGTGGAAGAAAATGTTAACTTCAAAAAGATATTTACCCCGCTCACACTACAGCCGGTGAGGGCAATATCCATACAGAATACATCTGTAGAGATCACAGGCATGCCAATATAAGATTAGCACCCTAGTTGGGAAACTGCAATACATCCAGAACAGGTATGCTCTTCACCCAGAACCTAATTCAGGCACTGCAGGTGGAATTTGACTTGATCAATCATTACTTATGGCCAGAACCAACCAGGTAGCCAAGGTTCCATTGCTTGGGGTTGGAATTATAGGGTCATGGTCCCTAAATCACTTGTATGTGACTAGGTCATTTGGACCACAATATAAATATATACTGTAGCTAGAGGGTGATAAGTTTCAGGCCACCAGAATCATGACAAGAAGGTAAACAACACCAAAGTAGACAAACCCTCTCCTCAACCTGAAGAAGTCTGAAAGGCAACACCCCAAACTTGGAATGCTTGGATCCTGTATGCCATACTCAACCTGAGGAAACAGAACTCATCTGGTCTGGAATTATGAACACTTATTCTCATTCCCAAACCATGTGGGCAATGTAAATTCCACTTGTCCCTGGAATTATGAGGAGAATGTAAACAAACTGTGCTCAATCAATGGGACCGAGATGGGACCACTCTGCATTCAGAATTACGATGAGAAAATGGACCCTCTTCCATGAACAATGCTGAACAAATATTGATAAAAAAAAGGGCCAAGCTTAATCCAACTGGATAGCCGAGCATCAAATCTGAGGCGGTATTACGACTAGGCTTCAAAGTAGGCTGGTGCCTCTCCTATCAACATCTAGGGAAATAAAACATCCAGGGTTCTGGGTAGAAGGGCCCCCAAATTCACCCTCTTCTTCAAGAGTGGAGGAAATTCACTCGAATACTCTGGAGGAATAATTTCTGTCCACCACCCATTGACTGGAAACTGGGTGTAAGTAAGGACTCCCTAGCTCTCCGTGGGCTCTCCTGAAAGTACCGCAGAAACCAGGGTTGAGCCAGCCAATCCTGTGCTATCAACAGAATCTGACAAAGCATTGAAGAAATCATAGCTAGTTCTCTGGATAACATACAAATTGGTGGGAAGACATAGAGGTGCAATCCCATCCCGTCCTGACTGAAAGCATCTAATGCCAATGACCGAGGGTGAAGTACCAGAAACCAAAATGCCAGTAGTTGAGTGTTCCAAAGAGTGGCAAATGCACTGATCATCAGTGTCCCAAACCAAGAGCAAATCCAATGGAAAATCTCATAATGCAGCATCCATTCTGTTGGGAGAATCCGGTTTGGTCGAGATAATTGATCTGCCACCAAATTCATCACCCCTGGAACATGGCAAGCTAGTAGGATGATATGATGGGAGTGGACCAGAAATGTGAGACACAGTGGAACTGTCGAAGTGAAGCATGATGATTTGTCTTCTCAATAAGTCCAGACCTTGAGATATTGCCCATTGAACAGCAAAAAGTTCTAAAACACTGATGTGTAGGAAAGCCTCATCATCTGTCCGTAGGCCCTGGAATTCCTGATTGTTGAGATAGGCACCCCATCCCTGAAGCAAGGCATTCATGAAGAAATGAATCTCTAGACAAGATGGTGACAAAGGAACACCTATTGTAGTATTGTTCCGATCTTACCACCACTCAAGGTTAAAGATGTTGATCCTGCATAAGGAAGCTGGGGAATCCAGTGAATCACTGTTCATGATCCATTGGTCATGTACAGACCATTAAAGGGATCTCATGTGCACTTGTCCCAAAGGAATGAGAGATTTGAGGGATGCCCACATCCCCAAAAAAGAAAGAACCATCCACACAGTGGGAGAAGATGTGAGTAAGAGTTGGACTGCTTGTTTCACAGTGTGAAGCCAGATGGTAGTCAGCTGAGCCCGACTGAGATACATGTTGAAAAAGATATAGTGTTGGAGAATAGATTTCTTGGCTCTGATAATAAAGCCTACATTGGTTGCTTCTGAAAGTAGAATCTGGGTGTGACATTCCGCCAGCTGATGAGATGGTGCCAGCAGTAACCAGACGTCCTTGTAATGGAGTGTGAAGAGGCCTGAACTGCAGCACTTGATCCTTGTGCACAAAATGCAGATAGTGGCGGGATAACTCCACTATGGGAACATGTAGATAGACATCGGCAACATCAAATTTGTTCAACTACAGTCCTGGCAAAAAATGCCAACAAAGAGTGAGGAATGACTCCATCGTGAACTTTAGGAATTGATTTAGACACAAAAGATTGATAACTGGATGTCATTCTCCTGTTTTCTTGGGTACAACAAACAGACAGGAATAAAACCCTGGAAGAACTGGGATGACTCTCTCCACTGCCTTCTTGACCAACAAATCAACAAGAGGCAGGAACACTACAGGTTGGGTGGATAATGGTGATGAAGATGTAAACTGAATGACTAATCCTGATGCAAGGACCATAGTAAAGGTTTTCTGCATGTCCAGAAATTTTTGTAGCCGAGCCCCCACAGACCCCAAAAACATACAGCAGTCACTGCCACAGCTGGTGGCATTCTAACTGAGTGGAGGAACCTCACAGATATGGGTGGAATCTATTCTGGGTACCAATGAACAGATGGGCTGATGTTGGGACTCTCGAATAAGGGCAGAACTATGGCCCCCTGTTGGAGCCGAGGAAAGTCAAGATGCCAATGACGACAAAGATGAATGCAGATGGGCAACATCAAGTCTTGATCCAAAGACTCTGGAATGCCTGCAAATATCACGGGTCAGAGAAAGAGGGCCTCATGCAACTTATGGAGGGTGGCAGCTGGTACACAAATGCTTTCCAACAATGCATTTCTACCCAAAAAATCCCAACAAAACACCAGCCAAGGGACTAGGGAAAGTGCAGAAGCTGATAACTGAAGCAAGGTAGATGCTAACAATGGTCTTAACTCATCATCAAATTGATGTGATGATCACTGAGAGGCTTCTGACAAAAGTTGGAGGGATGATAAATATCTTAGCATCATAGTTAGGATCAGATGAATCCTAGAAAATTGTTGATCAGAGGCTCTGTTTTGGAACCCCACAATTCCAGGATCTGGTCTATTTTTTGAGAGTCTCAATACACATCCACCTGGTAGTGGTAGGCTAAAGCATGTTGTTCCAATAAACATAGTGGACAAGGCATAGTTGTTCCTTCACGTAACTGAGTAGTAGATCTCCCTGCATGAACCACAATATCAGGGGATGAAAAGAAAACTAAGTATTCACCCTCAGATCTTTCCATCATTAAAAAAGGCACAGACCCAAAACATCACAAACTTGATTTACCAACTGAAGAAAAGGAGCCGGAGGCGGCTGATCCCAATTTGGCCTCCTGAGAAGCTGACAGAATAAAGGAGTGTACTGGAGAAAGAGAATCTAAATTCTCTCCAGAATGTTCAAGATAGCCTGCAAGTGCTACCTCAGAGCCCTCTGAAGGAACACCACTGGACCAAATATACGTCTCCATCTCACTATGAATAAGGATACTGACAGCCTCAACTGAGAGCGACTCCCACCCCCCAACTGTTGAGCCATGTTAGATATCAGAGGTGGGATAGGAGATACTTGATTTGCCTCTGTGCTGGAAACAGTAATCCAGGAATTCATGCTGTATACCGGTTTGCTAAAGGAAATTTTTTATTTTTTAAAGATAATCAACTAGGTAACACCAAGAACACTCACAGTATCTCCATTGGTCGTACTACAGAGGAACCCATTAGGGAAAACTTTGTTGAGAAAAAGTAATAATATTATCTAAATAAGGTGCTTATATACAGTACCAGGATAAGAGGGCACATTGATGTAGGTGGAGTGTCACAAGATAAGTATTGCCAAGGGCAATTAAGTGGGCAATAAAAGACTGGAGCAAGCAAAAAGAAATCAGACTAATGCTTAGATTGGCAGAAGAAGGAAACCCTAGCAGTGTAATAATAGCTGTAGTGTTAGTGGAGGTAAGTATGTTTTGGAATTTATATTTTCAGAAATGAACTTTAATAAAAATTTAGCAGCATACTGTGTAGCTTTGCACTAAAACAAAATATAACTACAATGATTATCTCACCACAAAGAAAAGACTTTGGCAAAACCTATTTTTATGCAAGTTTTTATCTT